CCAAAGGCTACCCCAGTCTCATGCCTTTGAAGTCTCAGGCTTGACAGAGGAGGGATGGGGAGAAACATCCCTCTCAAAGGCCTTGTTCATGGAAGTGGAAATCCACATCCCTGTTAAGGGGCCCTGAAGCAGGGGGTGGGGCGGGCTGCCTGCCACTGCCCTGAGGTGCACAGTGGTCTGCAGCTGCTGCTGCCTGGGCTGCATGTGGCTCTCGGCCATTCTCCAAGAGGGGCAGAGGTCATGGAGGCAAAGAGCTGAGCTCAGGGTGTGGCAGTATGTGGGCCCCGTCCTCCATGCGGGCTCTCCGTGAAGGCTTGTGGGACTGGTGAGCTGCCAGAAAGAAGCAGTTCACCAACATGGAAAATGGCCAGATCCACTAAGGATGGACACTTTGTGGCACCAACATTGCCCCTTGTTCCCCAGGGGATGTGCGCCAAGCCTCCAACGCCACCTTGGTCTGTCCCGAGTAGCTGGAAGCTGCCCAAATGCCAAGCATGATCTGCTCACATAATGGACACCACACGGTCTAAGTGGGAGGATTTTAATTACCTGCATTAAAAAGAATGAATCTCAGTGTGATTCAAAATACCAACCAGAAGGTTCCAAGAAAGGCAAAACTCACCTGTGGTGTTGAGGTCAGGACAGTGGCTTGCAAGAGCAGGCAGGAAGGGACCTGAGGCTGCTCTGGCGCGGGCCACTCTTCAATCTGTGGGTCTGGGTGCTGCTTCCTGGCTGTCCTCAGGCTGGGGAAGCCGTCATTCTCATTGTCATCTGTGGGTTCCATCTGTGTTGTACTTAGTGCTCCACAGTGAACACGAGGAGTTGGTGAGTTGCAGGGTGGGGATGTAAGGAGTGTCCAACCAGTGTTAGTGGGCGCTATCCTCTGCTTTCACACACCGGTGTGCGGGCACGGTGTGGCCCGAGGTATCTGGCAGTGGGAAAGATGAAGGAGGGAGAGAATGGATTCTCACACGTACTGCAGAAACAAATGCTTTCAAAACACCTCAGGGTTGCTAGGTGCAGTGGTCACACCCACCATCTCAGTGAGGCCATGAGGCTGAGGCCCAGGCAGGAGGATCACAGCTTCAAGGCCAGCCAAGACCCTGCTTCAAAATAAAATTAAAAGGGCTGGGGGTATGGTCCAGTGGTAGAGGGCCTCTGGGTTCGTTTCCTAGTACTGCCAATAAGTAAACACACAATAAAATTTTTTTAAAAAAGGTTAGGGATATAGTTCAGTGTCAGAGCACTCCTGGATTCAATCCCTAGTACCACAAAATAGAGTCTAAATAATTTTTTTTTAAAATGGGCTGGGGATATGGCTTATTGGTAGAGGGCTTACCTAGCCTGTGCGAGACCCTGGGTACAGTCTCCAGTAATGCAAGACACAAACACATCACTCTGGAGAGAGCCTAGCAGATACCCAAATGGGAGCAGGACTGCCTTCCCCACCCGGGCAAGGGCTGTAAATGGTTGTCAAGGTGCCATCCCTGGCTGTGGCCCACTGAGGCCAGAGACAAGAGTGCCCTGATGTGGTCCCCAGCTCCAGGTCCTGTATGCCCACAGCAGAAATGGGGGTGCCACCAGGGAGGGGTAGGCAGCTGCAGCTGGTGCCCCAGTGAGTGAGCAAGTCTGCATGGTGACAGGCTGCTGGTAGACCTCAGCAGGATGCATCTGGCCAGCCGCCAGGAAAACGGCCCCCCACAGCCCCAGCAGTGCTACAGTTGGGGGCTGTGGCCGCTCTGGCATGGCAAGGTGCTCCTGTGGGGTATGTCTAGCGCTGAGCCTCTGCTGAGGCTGTGGCTCCTGCCTTGCCAACTGTTTCTTGAGATTTTAATCATTTTACAAATTCTCAGGATGGCAGGTGTGGCTCTGGTAGAGCACTAGCCTTGGGCTCCACTCTCAGCAAAAATTCAAAAAAGAAAGAAAGATGGGGCTGGGGTGGTGGCTCTGTGGTAGAGTGGCTGCATAGCATGTGTGAGACCCTGGGTTCCACCCTCAGCACCACATAAAAATAAATACATAAAATGAAAGTATAAAAAATTTTAAAATGCCCCAGAGGTAATGTGCCTCCTGCCTGGCAGGGTGGGCTGGCAGCTGCTCCCACCATGAAGCAGAGCCCAGTAGCACCGGGGAACGCAGGGAAGCCGCGATGAGGCTGCAGGAGAATCAGAAGTTTCTCAGAAGGGGGCACAGGGGCAGGTCCTCAGAGGCAGGACTGATGACGCAGGGCCAGGAGCACGGGGAAGGTCAGCATGGCTTTGACCCCTCGCTGTGCCCAGGGGTCCTTGGGCTCTGGCGCCTGCTGGGTGCCGCTCACACCCCTGGCGGCCGGTCCCGGGGTGCTCACGCAGCTCAGTCGCACGCCCATCATGTGCCACCCTCTGGAGGAGGGGCTCCGCGGACAACTTTAAAGAAAGGCTCCATTCTTCCTGGGACCTCAGCCTACCCCTGGCCCAGGGAGGAAGGAGGCCAGGCAGAGTTATCAGAGGCAGGTGACCTAAAGGCTCCCGGAGCAGATGAGGTCCCCACCAGAGCAGCCTCCAGAGAAGAGGTTGGCAGTGCAGTGGATGACCAGCTTCATTGGCACTGTGGACTGAGATTCCGATTCCCTGAGCAGAAGGTCTACACCGCAGAACTCAGGGTTCCAGCCAGGAAGTCTCTGGACTCTACTGGGGCCATGCCGAGGCCAACCTTTGTCCAGCCAGGGAGAGGGTGAGTGCGAGTGTGAGAGAGGGATGGGACAGGACAGGTGTGAGTGACACCCGACACACCATGAGCTGAGCTGGTGCCTGGAGCCTGACACAGCTGGAATCTGGGACCCTCCATCCACCCCTCCTTTTCTGAGGACAGATCAATGCCTGTACAGAGGAGGCTCCTGGGATCTCTCAACTCCACCCCTACGGCCACCCCTCAGCTCCGGCTGGCCACCAACCAGACGGGCCCCCAGTGCCTGCTGGTGTCCATTCCTGATGGGCTCTTCCTTGGCCTGGGGCTGGTGAGCTTGGTGGAGAACATGCTGGTGGTGGTGGCCATCGCCAAGAATCGCAACCTGCACTCTCCCGTGTACTGCTTCATCTGCTGTCTGGCCCTGTCTGACCTGCTGGTGAGCACCAGCAATGTGCTGGAGACTGCCATCTTCCAGCTGCTGGAGGTGGGTGTCCTGGCAACGCCAGCCACTGTGGTGCAGCAGCTGGAGAATGTCATGGACGTGCTCACCTGTGGCTCCATGGTGTCCAGCCTCTGCTTTCTGGGTGCTATTGCTGTGGACCGCTACATCTCCATCTTCTACGCACTACGTTATCACAGCATTGTGATGCTGCCCCGCGCACGAGGGGCCATCATGGCAATCTGGGCGGCCAGCATCCTCTCCAGCATCCTCTTCATCACCTACTACAACCATGCAGCTGTCCTGCTTTGTCTCGTCACCTTCTTTCTGGCTATGCTGGCACTCATGGCAGCTCTCTACATCCACATGCTTGCCTGGGCATGCCAGCATGCCCAGGGCATCGCCCAGCTCCACAAGATGCAGCGACCAGTGCACCAGGGCTTCCGCCTGAAGGGCGCTGTGACCCTCACTACCCTCCTGGGTGTTTTCTTCCTGTGCTGGGGCCCCTTTTTCCTGCACCTCACCCTCATCGTTCTCTGCCCCCAGCACCCTGCCTGCAGCTGTGTCTTCAAGAACTTCAACCTGTTCCTGGCCCTCATTATATGCAACTCCATTGTGGACCCTCTCATCTATGCCTTCCGCAGCCGGGAGCTCCGCCTGACACTAAAGGAGGTGCTGCTGTGCTCCTGGTGAGCAGGGAGGGTGGCTGCTGGAATCAAGGCCAGGATGCTGGGCAGAGTAAGACAAAGGTATCCAGTGGCCTGAGTCCTGTGTGGCCTTGGATAGGCCCTTCCCTTCTTGGTCCCATTTGCCAAAGGACAGACTAGATGATCTCTAAAGGTGTGGAAGCACAGACCCAGGGACAGGGAGAGGGGTAAGTGTGACCTCCAGAAACCAACCCTCAAAAGAAGTTGAGGGAAATGGAGCAAGTTGGGGAGGGGAGGGGCTTGGTTACTGGGCAGCAGGGGCAGATCCTAGGATCCTAAAGAGACATTCTCTGTCCTAGGGAGTTCTGCTTCTGCCTGTGACTAGGCCATGCCCACCATCACTTGGTTTTTACTGCCAGCTCTTGGGGCTTGTGCCCTCAGCAGCTGGGACACGAAGATCAATAGGAGCCATGGAAAAGGGACCCTGCTCCTGTTCAGAGCCTCAGGAGAAAGGACTTTGTGACCAGAAAGATCCAGCCACAGCTGTGCGGCAGGCTGCTTTCAGAAGTGAGCTAGGGCACTGGATTTGCAGAATGGGCCTATTGCACAGGGGTGTCCACCAGAGTGGGGCTGAGCATCCATTCAAGTTTGCAGGCTCAGTGGAAACCTGAGAGTTGGGAATCCAGCACCACACTCACCCAAGGCATGGGGATCCAGCAAAGGCACGCTCTGGCTGTAGGAGAGGCTGCCTGTCTGAATCAGTGGCCAGTGCCTGGGAGTGCAGGGCCAGGAAACAATTGGTAATAATGCTGTGCCCAGGTGCAGCCTCACCACCATCTCCTGAATTCTTCCAGAAGCTGTTTGAAATCTGGGTGGAGGGAAGGCAGGGACAGTAGTTATGATGGGGAGAAACGAATCCCAGAAATCATGACTGTCTACCCAGGGGAGGAGACCACAGTTCCAGAGGCCTCCAGTGTTAATGGGAAGAGTGTATTGACTTCAGGCTTCAGCTCCTTCTTGGCCATCTGTCTCTCTGTGGCTACAAACTGCAATACAGAGCCAAGGACACATGTTCAGCAGCCCCTTCCCCCAGTCACCTCCATGGTGACAAGACTCATACTGCCCAGAATGCCTCTGGCCCAATTCTACACTGGCAGAAGCAGCACCACCCAGTCCCAGCCCCTGAGGTGCAGACGCTTGACCCCAGCCAGAGCATGCCCCTTTCCTGGCTTCATCCCTGCAACCCCACAGCTATGGCACACAGTGAATGGGACCATCCTCATCTACTATGAGATGCCCAGAGGGGCCTGTGGCCTGGGGTGGAACAGGGATTGGAGTCTGTTCTCTGCTAGTCACTGTCCCCCTGGGAGCTGGGTCAGTGCTCTGCCAGCCTGGGGAAATTTTTAGACAAGGCCTCTGAGAATGGGGTGAGGTTGTCTGGGGACTCAGGATGTCCAAAACCGAGTCCAGGGCAGTGGGCATCTTGGGGTTAACTATACAGCTTGGTTTTAGAGAGTTGTGGACCCCTGTGCCCCTCTTCTGAAGCAACCTGGGCTTCTCACTAAGCCCACCTAATTTTCCTGCACAGACACTGGACATCAGCAGACCTCCTCCCTGGGGTAAGCTTGGTGGGAGCTATTATGTCCTGTTACCTTCTCCCAGACAGGTCTAGTAAGCAGCCCCCACCTTGCTGTCAGCTACAGCCCAGACTACTGGTTCCCGGCAAGGCCAGTCTCTGCTGGGAGACAGAACAGTGAGTCAGCCTTCAGCCTAGCACCAGAGCCCTCTGGGGACAGAGGGGGAGCTGGCTTGGTCTGATGCCATCCTGGCAGAGAGGGAGTCCAGGCCTATGGATGGTTCCAAGCTTCTTCCCTTGCACAGAC